TATATAGGAAATAGAGATTGTTTTTTAATTTCTTACAAAATTATTATTATGTCCATGTGTACAACCTTTTTATTGTCTTTGTAAAATGTAAAGGATAGCAGTTGTCATTCACTATTTCCCAAACGCTCCCTCAGTCGACTCGTTCAAAAGCGTTTTTAAAGTCAATGAAACTTTATGGGTTTCTAGGTAATATTCCTTGCGGTGAAAATGGGTTTTTAATGCCTATTTTTAAATTTTGCAATACATTGTTATTAACAAATTATCGGCTATACATACAAAAACAAAAATTATTCAGGTTTTTGTTCCGAATGACAAAAAATCGATTCCAGTTTTAAATCAGTCCTTTTTTTCTCAGGTGGTAGTTAATTTGTTTTTTTATGCATCGTTTTGGGGGTGCATCACTGACCTATATAATATATCAAGCTCCTTTAACAATTTATTAAACATAATTCTGATTTTTCTATAATCTTATCTTAACATTTTTACGTCCAATCAAAAACAAATTATGATGTTAATCGACTTTCAAACACACTCAAAAAATTTGCATGTTCATAACATATGCGTGTATTTTTAACGAGATTTATGGGGAGAATATGGATTTTTCTGTCAGTTTAATCACATGAAATGGCGTTTAACATTCAAACTTTATACAGAATTAAGGTATATAAAATTTGTTCTAAAAAATAGCACAAGTATTGCTAAATTTTAAGATTAAAAATTAATATGTTTATTTATTAGATATATATTGACCATAATTATATGTCATTATGGTGTGTATGCACAAGGCACTGGAGAAATGTTTAATCAAACAACAAGGACTAGCTACACAAACATAATTAAATTATAATTAAGGTATTAGCGTTTAAAGATAACACTAATGAGTAAAATATACATTACTGCTAATGTCCTATAAGTACACATTTATTTTTGTTAAAGTAACTCATTAAATTCTCATAAACTATTCTCACATTCGACAGAAACAGAAAATTATCTCACAGAAACGAGTAGACACCTTTGAGGCTTTTGATAACAAAATCATAACCAGGAACATTTATACACACACGCACACACACGCAGTGATCAATCCTGCCCCTAAGGAACATTTGTATACCATTGTAAGAGTGGGATCCACATGTCTGAAGATCAAACCCGTCACACTTCACTAGTTGAAGTGGTACCTATCTGACCCCAGGCTTTTCCTCCACCCCTCCTCATCGTGTGACTTACGTGAGGAGGCTTATGATCTGAAAGTTACTTAAGTTGCTCTAGGTAATGAGACTTCTTCTTCTTCTTCTTAGGGTGCCTGTCTGGCTATGATGATTTTGTTGGTTGCTATACGAAATAGCTGTGTTGAGGTCTTTCTATACCATGCTCTTAGGTTAGCAAGCCAGGATATTCTTCTTCGTCCTGGGGCTTTTTTTCCTTCAATTTTACCCTGCAAAATGCATTTGAGTAGCTCGTATCTGCCTTGATTTCTCATAATATGTCCCAATAATCCAGCTTACGGCTCTTCACAATGTTGACCAAATCCGCGGTTGTGTTTATCCTCCGCAGTACTTCTTCATTGGTGACTTTGTCTGTCCATGGTATCTTCAGGATTCTTCTGTATAACCATAATTCAAACGCCTGAAGTTTTGATAGAGTTTCCGCCTTCAATGTCCACGTTTCTACTCCATACAGAAGCACTGAGTACAAGTAACATTTAAGGAGCCTTATTTTTGTTTTCAGGGTGAGGTCATGGCTTTTGAACACAGAGCTCATAGCCAAGAATGCACTTTTGGCCTTTCCGATGCGACATTTAATCTCTTGGGTATTGTCCCACGACTCATTGATTATAGTTCACAAGTAATTGTATTGTCAGACACGTTCAATTCTCATTTGGTTTACATACAGATTTGCTCCAGTTATGTTTTGCTTGCTGATGATCATTAGCTTGGTTTTGCTGGTGTTTATATCCAGTCCATAGGTTCTACTTGTTACTGTTATTTTGTTCATTAAGTTTTGCAGCCCTTCTATGGTATTGGAAAACACTATTGTATCATCTGCATACTGCAGGTTATTAAGCTTGACTCCATTTATTGAGATGCCTTCATCAATATCTTTTAGGGCCTCTTCAAAAATGTGCTCCAAGTACAGATTGGATATCAGTGGTGAAATTATGCACCCCTGTCTGACTCCTCTTAAGATTTTGACCTGTTCTGTATATTCTCCATCTATTCGGAGTACCGCTGATTGATTCCAATACAGATTAGCTATAATTTTTAAGTCTCTTTAATCAATCCCTGTCCTCTTCAGCACTTCCATCATTTGTTCATGCCTGACTCTATCGAAAGCCTTCTTGTAGTCAATCAGGCATGCAAAAACATTACAGCTGACATTTTTACATTTCTGAAACAAGATCTGCACGCTAAATAAAGCTTCCCTCGTACCAACGGCGTTCACAAATCCAAACTGATTGGGCGCAATTTGTTCCTCGCATTTCCGGTAAATTCTTTTGTGGATGACCTTTAAAAACAGCTTCAGCAGATGGCTCATTAGGCTTATTGTCCTATAATCTTCACAAACTTTTGCTCCTGGTTTTTTGGGCAATGGTACGAACTCCGATTTGAGCCACTCTACTGGTATTTTTCCTGCCTTGTATATTTCATTAAATATATCAGTTATTATTTTTATTTGTTAGGTAATGAGACACCCTCTGTTTTTATTGACTGTGGATAGGCCACCTAACTGTAGGGGTAGCCACATGTAGGCTTTTCTCTCTCTCATCGATCAGGTCACAATTTAACATTTGATAATTGGTTTATCACCATACCTCTTGTTAATAATCTTCTAGAAGACCATAACATAACTGTAGTTGCTACCATCAGAAAAAACAGAATAGAAATTCCACTGAATTTTTAAACGGCAAATTACGACCAGTGAATTCTTCAATGTTTGCTTTTTTATTTTATTTTATTTAAATAAGAGAACCGACATCGACAACTTGAGCCAGATATATCACTCTCTCAGCATACATAACAAATAAAAAAAACCACATACAAGACAGTAACTTCATTCCCGTTCTTCTTTCCTTTTTTTGGTTTGTTTGTTTTTTAAAGAAAAAGAAAAAATGAATCCTATTTTAAAAAAAGGTCTGTCCTCGTTCCGTTCACTAATTCCCTTAATAATCGTACCTCCGTGCTTTCCAAAGAAACACATATGTACGACACAAGTCACATGTGTAAATTATGACATCCTACAACTGATAGAAATCAATCGAAGAGATTAGTGTGGTTTGACCCTCGAAAGAGCTTAAACCAACATTCAAATGAAACCATTGGTCAAAATTAAATGAACAATAGTGCTCTCACAGTTTTTCTTTTGTTTTTTGTTTCGTTTCTTTCGTTTAGTTGTTAAGTTTTAATGTTAAGTTATCGTAGAGTTTGTATAACATCTAATAAAAAAAAACCTACAAATTGTAAGTATGAACCTTGTTGGTTGTTTAATTATATTTTAAAATCTTTTTTATTTTTGATGCTTTTAAAAATAAAAGCGAAATTTATTCGAATAAATCAATGAAGTAGTTGAAGGCAATACCTGAAACATGTAAGGCAATAATAATAGTACTGTAGGATTATATAAAGGTACATGCAATAGTGACAAGTAAATCTTTTTACTTATTACAGGTCACAAAATTATGTATCCAGTCGTGTAACATGTTAATATTAGTATACCGCGAAAGTAACTAGCCATTGAACTTCCTGACGGACTTAATTCAGGTGTTGAAGCACATTTTCCATTATATCAATTTACAAATAGGCCTGACTGCTGCTGCGAAGCAAGGCCATTGTCTGGTACCCCAAAACTATCATTTGCTTTTATTGAAGACGAAGCATTTTCATCCAAAATTTCAAGTCAAACTTCCTTAAACCATTCAACAAAAATCAATTGAACTATGAACGTATGGTCTTTAACTACCGCTTATCAAGAGCAAGACGTATTATTGAGAATACATTCGGTATATTAGCCAATAGATTTAGAATATTTCATACTTCTATATATTTAAGAAACATGGAACATGTTGATATTGTTGACTTGGCTTTGCACAATTTTTTAAGACACAAGGCAAGCGCTACTTATATTCCAAGTGAATTAAACAGTTCAGATAAAGACCCAGTTCTGGAGGTGCGAGGGCTAGTAGACCTTCACGTGACTGCAAATCTGGAACGATGCTAGTAAAATGGCAAAAAATGTGAGAAATAAATATATGTAAGATTTACTATACGAAGGAAAAGTTGATGGCAAGATGAAGTAGTTCGCACTACATATATGTCATAATTTTTTGTACCTTTTGTTGAATTTTTGTACCATACTTATATGCTATGAATTAATGTTATATTTACTTTCTGTATTCTCTTGATCTTTCACATCACCCTCCATTGTGTTGTCCATAGTATTTTTACCACCATGAACATCTTGTGTATCATTAAGTGTACACCTACATTGGAACCGTATTTCTCCCGATCCGATATCGGCGACGTCGGCCGACGTCGGATTGAAAACAAACTCAAGGTATTTAATCATAGTGCCTATACTGTTTCCATGACGAAGCAGTATAGGCACTCTGATTTAATACCTTGAGTTTATTTTCAGTCCGACGTCGGCTGACGTCGCTCGATATCGGATCGGGAGAAATACGGTTCCAATGTAGGTGTACACTAACGCTCCTTTCATATTACACGATTTCGCTCGTGCGGGAAAAAATCGCCCGGGCAATTTTTCTTGATCGACTGTTGAAGAGTACGAGACCTTTCACATTGCACGATTAGAACACGGGCACGTTTTTAATCGTGTTGCAGCCGTTCAGTGCTACTAGAACCGCACGGCTACCGTATCGCCCACTAGCTCAGTGGCCTACGTGACCAAATGCACGCTTTCACACTAGACGGTCTTTAGTCGTACGGGAACTGTCCCCAGTATTGTTTCTACCGCGTTCAGTTTTGGTGGTTTGTTTGCAAATTATGGAAGGTGTTGACGAAGAAGTGTTAATATCCCTAGTTGAAGCAAAACCTGTGATATGGGACAAAACTTTAGAAATTTATAAGGATAGAAATTCAACAAAGAAAGCCTGGGAAGAAGTATGTTTAGCACTCAATCCGGATTTAGAGAACAATGGCGATGGAGAAAAAAATGCATTTGGTAAGTACTATACCTATTAACTTTCTATTAAGCAAAGTAAACTTACTTTTTGGACGTATGTATATTGTATTTTTTAATGTATATTGGTGTTGTATGTATTGTATACTTCACTTGATTTACTATTTACAACAGAGACACTTTTTAGTTTTATTTCATTTATTTATTTATTTTTACATATATGACAAATTATACTTTAGACATTTGCCAGGATACACTTCCGACTTCTGTCAAAAAATATGAGGTAAGCACACTTCTGATATTGTTTGCTTCCAAGCCTCCTCGTGTAGTGCTTTCTCCTGATACATCTTCCAGGCCTGTGATCGTCGTTGTGTCCTCAACAAGATATCCGTCTCTGTCACGTACATAATTGTGCAATACGATGCACGCATTGACGATGAGCACTGCAAAATGTGGCTAACCGTTGATAGGGCGATGGAATATACGCCATTTATTGCTCAGGATGCCAAACGCACATTCCACATATCTTCGTGCTCTGCACAATCTATAATTAGAAACCCCTTTTTTCAACTTTTTTTTTTTATTAAAAATCCTTTATAATAGGTATATATTTAAGGCCCAAACGGGCTAAGTTAAAAAGACATTACGTTTTCGGAAACCATGTTCCATCATCAGTGTCTAGGAGTACATGAATGTAGCCACCAAGATTAAATATATGGGTAAAAACCCGTTAACAGATGTTTAATTACATTTAGTTTTAAAAATACGTTATAATAATTTAAGATTATAGAGTTACCGATGGATTAGGTAACATGGCGACATATGACTCTACGTTGAACTTCAACGTCGAGTTTTGTCTTTTCTGACGCCGATACAGTATCCATAATGCAATAACTTGTTCGCGATCCATAATTTTCATCCAAACCAGACCAAATGTTCCGATGAACTGATAAAAATGTACGATTTTTATCGTTCAATGTGAAGTAGCAAAACCACGATTAAAAATCGAGCGACTTTTTCCCGCACGAGCTAAATCGTGTAATATGAAAGGAGCGTAAGGAATATAAACAAATCGTAGTAAAACAAAGATGGTTCATATATGTCACCAATTCCGGCTTCGTTGTTGGTAGTCTCATTAACCTTTTTTTTATAGTTGCACTGTTATCTTGTTTTTAGAATTTTTCAACCAAAACATTATACGCAGCTTGTCTTTTGTTTATGTTGTAGTATTGAGGATCTTTTTTGTTCCACAGATATGAGTGTTGCTGGTAAAGTTTGATAAATTCAGTAATAAAGTCATAGTTTGCCATGTCGCCTGGACACTACACCTATCGATAATTTTATATGACTGAGACCTGATCGGACAAGTTTTTTTATACATCAGTTCAACTGACGACTGATGCGATAACTTTTGGTATACGCATCGAGCCACAGCTCAGTATCAGTTTCAGTTTTTCTTGCAGTTTTTTGTGTTTACACATACAGATAACTGACAGTTCGCCTCAAACTGACACTGAACGGAGAACTTATCTGACCGTCTAAAAGTACCTTTAATGATTTTAAGTCAATCAGTTTTTCTTGCGTCGTATTTATCTATACTGTTAATAACATTTGTATTCTAAATGTAATTAAATAATTTAATTATCATCTCTAATTCATCATTCTTCGTAAGTAAAAATAACTGATGGACAAATAAGCTCACTCCGATAGTTAATATACTTAAAAGAGCATAAATATGAGAAAATAAAAAAACATTGTGTTATGTTTCGAACAAGTTATTTAATTGCCTTTCTGTTTCACTCTCACCTATTTTTGTTTCAAATGATAGGCACTTTTTAATCAATCAATTAGAGATGGCGCTGTGTTGAATAAAACACTATCCGATTAATTCCTATTGTAGTTCCGCGAACCGCGGAACGCTAATTAAATTTTCAGGTGGTTTATTGGCCAGACTGAATAGGCATACATTTAAATTGCAAAAAAGCGTCTTTAATGCAATTACTGATTCGTCGGTCTCGACTGAATTTTAACGTGATTCAATTTATTAACACCCTTTGCGGTACGCGACAGAGAAAAACAACAGCGGCAATTTGTACTATAATACCGCACCGACAGATGTGGCTTAAGGCGGTTTTCTCCAAGACCATTAGTGATTGTAGCAATTCCGAAATAATTTTTAATAATACATAATAAGTAAAAATTCTCATTCTCGAGAGTATTTTTTTTGTGAAATATTTATTCCATGTGACTTGCATGTATCGTGTATTCTTATCATAAGGCAAGAGATGAAGCGAATATTTCATAATTATGCTCATATTACTACTACTACTACTACACATAGATTGTCATGGATTTCAAAGAGAGAGATAGTGTCAGAGCTGTTTTGAAACAAAAAATTATAATAAATCATGCAAATATCATTTCAGTGGACATCCTAATGCAAAAATAAAAAAAAAACAATTCTGTTAGTTTTGGGATCCGAAGTTCTTCTTTGTCGATCACATTCTTATGCTTTTTTAAGGAAAGCTGCTAAAGTAGCATATTTTGATACATAGGTTTTTCTTCTTCTTCTTCTTAAAGTGCCGTCTCCCAATTGGAGGTTGGATATCATCATCACCATCTTTATTTTATCTACTGCTGCTCTAAAGAGTTCTATAGAAACTGCATTTAAACCAGTCCGGAGACAGAATTCTGTCTCCGGCTTCTATACAACATGTAGCTTCTCCTTTTTAAAAATTTTAAAGTGTTTGTTTGTCTTTGTGTATTGTTTTGTTATGTCCAAATTTACATTTATGACATTCTACTCATGTCGGATAGGCCACAACCTACGAAATGCCCCTGAAGATGATCTATTGATCGAAAGTACTTGCGCAAGATTAAATTAATCACCGTGTTCGATAGTTGCCTTGTATACCGTCAAAATTTTAAATTTGTGCTAAATTTCTGCTCGATCGGTCAAATATTTTAATAGTTATTTAATTTATTTATCCCTGAGGAAAATATTTAAACTATTGAACTTGCTCTAATAATGATGCTAGACACATTTAGCAAATTTCATAGGATTCTTTAAGACTTAAACTATCTCTAAAATTAAATGCATATTGCGTTTTCATCGAAATTAATTACAAAATAAACGTTTGAAAAAGAGGTATGTTTTTTACTTATAAACAATTGTAATAACTTTTATATTTTTCAAGCTACAGACTTGTACGTAAAACCATTGGATAGCTGGTAAAAAAACTCACATTAAAAAAAACCTTCTATGATCAATATGAATGAAGTTACACAGAACAGAACAGAACAAGAACATTTTGTTTTGTTAATAAAACAAATAAGAAAATTTATAAATGAATGCAAAAAACTGCTATTTTTGCAAATATCTCCGTAAATATGTCTTAAAAGCTTCAGATATTTGCTAAAAATTTTGCCGTGAAATCGATGATTTTTGCATAACCAGACTGGGCTAATAGGCATCGACGTAGCTACCCTCAGTTTTCAGGGGGTCTGGAACCCAGTGTACGGTGGATTAATTTTTTTTATGTGCCGTGCAGTGAAAAAATAAATAGAAAAAATTCGTTATAATAGTACACTAATTTTATATTTTTAATATGCCTAATACATATAATTATGTATTAGGCTTACGATTAATTTTTACAAAAACAAAATATTAACAAAATATTACTTACAAGAGAAACTTCCTACTCTGTTCACTAAAAGAATTTACAACACTCTCCAAGTCTATATCTATATCTTTTTCTATATGTAAAAGAGCCAAATCTGAATGCCTATCTTAGGTCGTTGTCATTCTCAACCAGTTAAAAATCCACCTCATGGCAGAAAAAGACCTCTCGCACGTTGAAAAATAATCGATATTTTAAAGAGTTGATATAGGTTGGAATATATTTTTTTTGAGCCAATTAAGTTTTTTTATATACATTTATGACAAGCAGTTTCGTTAGATTGCAAAATACATTTTTTTAAAACGGTATTTCTACTCTTAAGACAAAAGTGTTGATATTTAAAATTTTACGATATTGTTCAATGAATTTCTCTGATCCTTCTAAATCTAACTGAAAAAAAATAATATACTGAATTTTCAAGCGCCATACTTTCTGGTGAGAACCTTTTGTTCAGAAATTCTCTATTATCAATAATTTGATAAAAAATGTTTGCACTCCAGCACTCAATGACTCCTACATTAGCTCTGGAGCATGTGGCGACTATCAAACCCAATCCTATGGTTGTTTCGGTGACGAAGTCAACGAGCTTGCTACTGGCGTTTTTTTTTCTTTTGGATGACGGAATATTTAATGAAATTTGGTATTCTGTGTTAAAGTTCTATAGTTTTGTATGAAGATGGGTATAATATTGTTTATTTCTTCTGCCATCAGGTGGGGGCGGTAGCCCTCTTCAAGCTACACCAGTGTACATAGGTATCTCTTGATGTAATTCAATAAAAAATTAAAGAAAAAATCCCAGTAATCGGCTGTATACCATGAAAAACTTACAAAGAAGTACAGAATTCTGATATATGATGGTATATTTTATTATTAAAATATTTAAAATTTATGCAAAAGAATTACAATTATCTTCATTAATACGTTTTCGGTCCAATCGGCAATCATCAGTGAAACATCTCGAGAGTAGTTAAAACTAGCTACCAATCCAGGTATAACAAACTTTAGATTACATAAAAACCATATTACATTATAAATTTTTGATGACAAAAAGTCGATGTTATAGGATATCAGTTTAAGGGAACATATATTTTCCCTGCTTGAAAAAAGGGACAATTTTGTGCAACGCTTAGAACCAATGGAACCAACGGTAGGGTTAAGTGGTTTTGACTTTTCTTTATTTACATTCAGGCATACTCTTCCAAAGTATTTCATAGTTTTACCGATATGTAATTGGTAATATTGTGCTTCATGAACTGTGGATTTATCCTCTAATTGCTCCAACTCTAACTACAACCGGAATATTGACTGGTCAGTAGATAGATAGATTTATTAAGGTGGCATTTGGCCTATTCCACTGCGACC